ATCTTTCAGTCTTACTAACCAGAAAATTAATCTTTTATTTAAGATACTTTACCTGTTTCTTCTCAGTGATTCCTGTGTTCTGGTTTCTCAATGTTATACAAGCCTTTTAAATAAACACACACATGCACACACACACACACAGAGTCACTCACTCGTGTGTGTGTGGATAGATAGATAGATAGATAGATAGATACATAGATAGATAGATAGATAGATAAAATGAGTCTAACACAGAGGGGAGGCTGTGTAAATCAGACATTGTGTACGCTTTTTCTTTTATTACACCGTGGTTTTTATGAGATTCTTTAGTTCAACTTCCTTTTCACAAGATACACTACCAACTCTATAGTGCTCACACTCGTCAACTTTTTGTTACAGTTCTGACAGTCTGCAAAGAACTAGAACTGTCTTTCCCTCTCCTCACCACTCAGTGGCAATGTGTATTTTTTTCTATTTTGAAAATATAATTGTTTTACTCACCCGCAAAAAAAGTCACTGACCTGGGCAAGAGGAGGAATAGAGTTTTCCAAATTAATATTAATTTAAAGTCAGATCCTGTATATCTCTCAGAGGAAAAAAATGTCTTTTCTACAGAGATATTTCCAATATTTACAATATATGAATCCTCTGAATAATGTACTGGGTTCTAGTGGGCTGACATCATCACTGTGTTCATTTATTTCTTTCCCTTCTGAAAATTCTCTAAGGATCAACACCCCCACAGATGAGCCATGCAGAGATCAGCATTTGGGAGGGAAGCAGAGTTTGGAATAGGAAACATATCTTAACACTCAAGGGACCCCAAATATTAGCAGATTGTCTCAGAAGTCCATAGACTACTTTGTAGGTTGGATGCTATGCCATCCATTCTTCAGAGTTTTTTCTTTTCTTTGTTTTATTGCATGGCCATCCTTACAGGAAATGTTTGTTACAGTGTTGAATGCTTCATACTGGAAATCAACTTTGCATGTGGCTATTCTCACAAATGTGCAATCCCCAAATGTATACATGCACCAAAACTATATTAGAACTAAAAGTCTGATCATGGAAACACCACTAAGGCCGGTGATTATTACCATGAATAGTACCCTTGACTGCAGTCACTGAGTGTGTTTATTTACACTGCTAAGTATAAGCCATGCCACATATATCATTCAACATCTAGATTCAAAGAGCGATATCAAGAAAGCTATTCAGATAACCTGCTTTTATGGTAGGTGTTGGAGAAGCTATTATACCACCATTAGTCCAAAATATTTTAGAAACAAATATTCAGATGAAAGGAAGACTCATACCCTCTAACCGGAGTAGCTTTTGAGTGAGTCATAACCAGGGGATACACTTAATCTAGACTCAGATAATAGAGAATTTCTGATTAGACAGACTCTTTTGACCCAAGGAGAACTACTGACTTCCTGGATCCAACTGCAAGACAAGTCAGAGCCATGGACTTTAATGCGTAAAGATAAGCACATGTGTAAGTGTTTTCAAGATCTGGGCCTTAACTGCAAACTATTTAGAGCAAGGTCAGTAAGATTTCTGTACATTACTCAGAATAAAAGGGTCCCAATCTGGACACTACCATAATATAAATTATAAGTAATAAGACAGCAACAAGTCATGTACTTTTCTAAGAGAATTGCACCTATCCACAAGCTTTAAAGTGCCTTAACTAAAAAACAAAGAGACAAAATCCAGAAGCAACCTCTTCCATATATGGAAATAACTAGCCAGACCTCACAACAAAGGGAAGATGAGGAGATATAACCTATGCTTCCAAAATATTACACTCCATGTTACATGCATCTTCCTAAAAACCTGTACAACAAGACTTGCGATTCTCTTTTTCATAACAAGCAAAATTATTAGGCTGCATTAGGTAATAGTAACATGTTTTTTACTCCAAGAATGCAAGGAAACAGCTTTCAAATCCCTATTTCTTATTTTGTATGTTATTTAACCACAAGAAACTCCGAGGGAATTCGTTTTCATGTTCTCCCTGCTCCAAAAATATCATTGCTGTGACCTCATTGATACAACCTGACTGGAATGTTTCTAGAGGAGAGAAAACCTTCACAATAATAGGGGATTACGCAGGAGGAACAGACACAAACTACAACATAAGAGCCTTGATGATATAATCCCATATTCGACAGAAAGATGGGTTGACTGCTTTCTGCTGGCTGCAGTTTAGCAAGACCCTTAGGAGTACTCTTCCCGTAAACTCCTGCCATCCACCCCAAACTTACACTGAAATCATACCACTAGGAAAATAAGGCACTTCTTAGAAGTAGTCCTGACAAACATTTTAATGTGTTCAGCATGCATGATGCTCCAGCAGAAGTTTCAATACAGTCTTCATTTCTTTACCTAGTGGCACAAGAGAGGACCTGGTGTGGTGCGATAGAAAAAGGGCCATATCCTTTGTGGTGTACCACATTAAATTAATATGTCAGGCTTTCTAAGTCTGTCACTGTTCACAGACGGTGGAACAATTGTTTTGCTTCCCCACTCCCCTCTTTTTTTCCCAATTTTCACATAGTATCACGCTAAAAAAGAGTTATGGATTTCCTTCTGAGAGGACTGCATGGACTGATAAAGTAAATTCATGGCACAAAACAACTTGTTATTTTCCCTTTTACCTCATAATTTCACTTAAGAGAGAAAGTGCAATAAATTTTGGCGGGAAAAATAAGACTATTTTGGACATTTCTAATGACTAGTCTGTGTAAACACTATTGAGAAATATGGGTGAGAACAATTCATCCAGAGGAATGATTATTTTTCTTGCCCCGAGGCCCTAAACAGCACTTTTGTGAAGTATTTTAAATTGTCTGAAGTTCATTTAAGAAGAGGAAGAAGCAAAAAAAGAAAGTTTGGAAAACTCTCATAGGCTTTCATGTTTAAATGCTTTATTCTTTGGTGATTATGAAACAGTCACTTTCTAACTCAACTGAAGAACTGTTGCCCAAACTTTCCTAACGCACAGTTAGTGGGCCATTTTGATCTCACTTACTCTGGATATATACCAGAATAGCTGAGATCAGAATCTGGTCCAAGGTATCGATGCAACATTTAGAACAATGGGCTCCTGGTCCCAGACTGGGGCCCCTAGGGGTTACGATAAGATAAATAATGAATAATAATGCACAGTTGGACACTCTCGCTATGCACACAATGTGTTGGAGCTAAATTCTCTGCTAGTGTAAACTCGCACAGCTCTACTACCTGTAACGGCGCTTCAGCAATTCATGCCCGCAGAGAATTTGGCCCTCGGTCTTTAGTGTTTTATTAGCTTCCCTGACACTACTTAAATATGGTGCCTCGGTATAGCTCTTATTGTCTCCGGAACTCTGCTACAGGCTGGCTGGGCATTAGTACTTCAAGCACTGCCCCACAGGGTTCACTCTTCATTACCTTATCAAATGAACAAAATTTCCTCAATAAGTCTTCCTGTACTGCAGATAAAATAGCAAACAAACATTTGGGCGAGTTAGAAAAAAAGCTGACTAAATGCAGGAAGATCATTCTTGTTATTCTACCAATATTGCTTCCTTTGCTCCAAAGGAAATGCTAGTTCAGAAGGAGCCAGGGGAGCAGTTAGCAGCTTCTTGCTAGAGCTCCAGTATCTCTGCTGCAGAGGCTAGAAGATGCTGTAAGAATGTGTGACTCATACGGCTCATCATGATTGAAACCTCTTCCGATGCCAGTAGAAATCTACTTAAAACCTTTCATTTGCAGGGTAAAAAGAGAGCTGGAATGACATTTTTCTTCTGTACATTCACCCTGTTTTCAAATCAGAGGGGCCCCGAGCTGCAGCAGCAACAGGGTGCTTGCAATGTAGCTGGTTGTGACAAGGCAGCTGACAAGCCTTCCGCATTCCACAGCTCGATTATTAATATGAATAACTAATGACTCACGCTGACACTACCGAGGCCGGGAAACTTTCTGTAACTAAAGAGTTATAAAATGTTATTCTCCCACAGCACCACCACCAAATCGATGAGTGATCTGTGAACGGCTTTGCATTCATTTCAGACTGAATATGCATGTCCCTGCACACATGGCTTGAAACAGTCAGAAGATTGGTGTTTAGGGGAAAGAGTTCAGTTGTATCAGGCTATTTAGGGGGCTAACTGCAAGAATGCAGAGACATTTCTCACGCTAGTCCACTTGCTTACTAATATGAATAACTAATGATTAAAGCATCTGATCTACCGAGGGCTGTGAGATTATTAGACCAGGCTTGTGAAACTTCTTTGTCACTGTCTGGAAAAGCCAGACTTCTCTGGAGGTTGCAGTTTCATTTTTTCCCCCCTGCTCAGAGGACGTGGTATGGCTTCAGCCAATAATTTAGAATCATCCGAGAGGGACATATCACCAAAAGCAACACTACATGTATGGATCCTCTTCTTCGCCTGGGCTATGTGAGTTGCAACTACCTTCAAGCAAGTTTCTGAGCTTTTCTTACTTGTTCCCAGTAAGCATGCTTCTTCTTCCTTTACCCCGACTGACAAAGTAGCAAAAATGAGACAGCATCACGCTCTGCTGGCTGTACGTATGAGCTTGCTCATCATTCAGTACTGTACTGGTTTTAGTCTGTGATATGTGCAGCATGCCGTTGGCTGTTACTTTTAATGGCTGTAGCTCAAAAGCAAAGATTCTGCCAAAAGAATCAAAAAGGTTGATGCTACTGCTATTGTAGTGTGGGGAACTCCGATGAATAGTATAACGTGCCTGGATTTACAAAAGGAAAATCTGTGAGGATGCCATGACTCTTTGAACAGCTAAAGTGAGTTATAATAATATCTCTAAAGAATTGACAAATAGTGAGCTAATAAAGCAATAACCTCAGACATTAGCTTCAGTAAGACTTTTTCAAAGAAAACAGAAGTGGAAAACTATATATTATAAGCATTTCCTGAAATGTGCAACAAGCACGCATTTTCTTAAACATAGGACAGTCCAAAGTATATTTAACAGCACTGAATAGCACTTACCTCTCATGAAGCACTGTTGGTAAGAAGGAAATGACTCAAATACGCTGTTTGAAGCCATAGTTTCCTCTTTAAAACTTATTCTTTCTTTAAAGTGGGGGAATATGTTATTTCTTTCACCTTGGGAAGTGAAAAAGTAAAAATGGTCATTGTTATAACCCTCCTCCTGGCCATTGCTTTCTATTTTATCTTAGTGCCTTTGAAGCAACATAAGCCAGATAATAAGATTCTTTTTCTAAAACAAACACTGAAATTGTTAAAAAAAAAATAGCGGATCAGTTGTGGTTTGATGATGCTTACCACTCTACGAAACTCTGTGGTTTGCAGTCAAAACGATTTGCCCTGTCTGCTGACCAATATCCCGGACCCGCTCTTGTGTGACTGCCTCTGTACCCAACTTGTGGTTCTGTGGTTGTTTATGAGGCCCAAAGAAGTGTTTCACACAACCAAAATTACAAATTTAACTGTTCCCCTTTCCACAACCTGTTTCAATTGGTCTGTGCCGATCACATGATTTGAGTGATGTCGACTTTAAAAAAAACCCAAAACTTTCTAAGCAATGCCCTATCCACTCCACCTGCCCTCCCCTAGGCTGAGAAACAGAGTAGATTTTGCAGAGGGAGGGAAAAAAAGTGACTCACAGCCCCTCATTCTGGAAATGGTCTTGCTGATTTAGTACAACTCTGCTTGTTTTGTTGTTTGTGGTTTTTGGAACTACCGATTATTTTGATAGAGATTTCATTGCTGCTTATTCAATAGTAATTCAAACCCTGGTATTAGTCGGCTGCTAAAGGAGGACGCATATGTCATCATTTAAAACCTTAGGAATCAGCTGTAGGAAAAGTCTACTAGCTGTTGAAGAAGAATATAAAGGGATAAAAATCTGCAGTGTAAAAATTAAAAGAAGAGATTATGAATTTCAACCTATAGAATCAGGAACAAAGGGCTTGTTGAAGGAAGTCAGTCTGTATAAGCTGGCAACAAAGACTGTAAGTTACTGCCAAAGGGCCAAATCCTGTAGTCCTTTCCCATGCAAAGCTCCCATTGACTTCAGAAGGAGTTCTACCGGAGTGAAAACTGAGTAAAGACTCATCAGTTTTTAGGATATAGCGAATAAGAGATTGATCAAAGAACACAATATTCTAAATTTCTGTCTAAAACAGTGGAGCTCCTTTACAAACAGAATAGCCCAGCCCATGCTGGTCTGACTCTGGTTAGAACAGTACGGAGAGGGTGGGGGGGAAGCTACTTATGTCAGAACAATGAAGTGACTGTTATGCCAGCTATTGTCTCCTTTCTCACCTCTTCTGAATACTGGACAACTACCTTTTTGCACTTCAATGCAAATCAATATGATACCTCACACCTGTACAGAAGCTTGGAGCTCAACAGGTTTTTTAAGCTATTAAACATTTGCCAAGGAACCAGTAACAATAGAGGAAATGAACCAATTCACACAACACATCAGAAAGAGTATTGTCCTGCACATGCTACGTGACAAATACAGTTAAAAGTGTAGCCTGAAGAAAAAGTGGTACACATTTGTGATGTCATCATTATTTTGTATTGCAGTAGATACAGGAGACCCCTATTTGGGTCATGGCCCATTGAACTGGGTGTTGCACAAACACATAGGAACACAAAGTTCCTCCCCTGAAGAGCTGACAATCTAAGTCCACAGTACTGCAATTGGACTCATGCACACAGACCCTAAAACCCCTCTGACATCCATTGGGCTCCACACAGGAATAAGGATTCCCCCACCTGAATCATATCTCCATAACATAATAACAAACCCATACTTTCAATACTCTCAATACTTTTGGATTTTTCCCTACACTAATTTTGTTGTGTGAAAATAAAATCGCTTTCCCCCATTGACTTTGTCCTTTCCATTTGGCTAACATTGACTTATCTCTTGTGTTTCTAAAGCAGCTGCAATTTACATGGTGCTGTCAGCTTATTTCCTTGCTTGGTGCCTGAGTGTGAGTGATGATATAAGTTTCAACACAGAGCTGGGAACAGCATCAGGTTGGTAATTGCTATGTCTGAACCAGCAGAGGGAGCTCAGATGGGTCCTGCAAGAACGCTGGGATTGGGATGTGGACGCTAGGTATTTCCCCCCTCTATAATCCATTAAACACAAAGGCTGGCCAAATATTTAGAGTCCAAATTACTTAATAATAGAGCTAGATGAATAATGCAAAAATACTTCCTCCGATATTTGTTCTAATTTTCAGAGGTGCTGGAACAATTTTTATAGTGCGGGTGCTGAAAACCATTGGATCGAACTGTAAGGTAAACCCTGCCTATGATGGAAACCATGTTAAGCCAGGGGGTGCTGCTCTACTCCCAGTACCCTGACTTCCAGCACCTATCCTAATTTTTTAAAACAAATTCACTTTCATGTTTCCAATATTTTCTCCTTTTTTGTGTTCCCTTTCCATGAACATTCATCCAAATGGATTTTACTCTATGAATGCCCATTGGAAAATGTGGTTTACGCTTACCGCATCTGAACACTCATGAAAAGTAAATTCTAGATTCACTTTCCACAAGCTTTTCACCAGAAACCTGGTGGTGAGGATTAAGCTCAGCTAATTAGAGAACAGCAACAGTATCATGGGGCTTATTCAGCCAATCATATACAGCAACACACCTCACAATTTGGCCAAACAAGCCACAAAAATAAGTTTTAAATTATTATTTTGATAAGAAACACAAGAAAGCCACAATCTGTTCACAGGCATTGAAGGGACATGCAAGATTCAAGGCAAAATTGGTTGAATAAGTTATTTGTTATGATTTAGCTCAGTTCTATTTGATAAAGTCATTTCAAAATCGGATGTGCATTTCTTTTAGGAAGTTCTTACCAAGGGGATCCATGTTTTTCTAGTGAAATCAATGCATGGAAATTCTGGAGGGCTGTGGAGGGCAATGCTTGGACCAACTTACTTTTACAGAAAGTGGGGGGAAAAAATCAGTTTTGTCCACTTTGCCTGGCTCTTGCTTCTAACCCATTGTCTAGATCACCAAGTAAGAGAAGCTTCCACCAGGAGCCTTAGTAACTCAATGCTATAAAACACAGCAATGATTCCAGTCTTAAGGTATAACTAAAGCCACTTTTTATTTACCTTGTTCTAATAATCAAAGGGATGGGAAAGCTCCCAGACACCCAGGCAGCTAGATACTCAGGTAGCCATAGCATATGCTATAACAGCCAGCCAGACTGTGGGCATAGCACTAGGGACAAAGTGCCACTGCATGCTGAATACGAGCTATGTTAATGCCTTCACCTCAGTCATTTGCCACGCCAGCCATGGCATAACTATGCTATGTGAGAAGCAACAACTGGGCTGGTTTTAACGCCTCAGAATTACTGCAGATGATGCAAGAGAAAAAACGAAGTGTTTCAACATGTATCCTGCCACTGCAGTTTCTTCTCTGCTACAAAACAGCATCTGAAAATGCTTTGCTAACATCCACACACTTTGAACTTTAGGGAAGGGATCACAGAACAGCACACTGGAACCCAGATTTGAATGTTGTTTTTCAGGCCCATTCTAAACTTAAATTGAAGAATTAACTACTATATTCCCAGGCCTGTGTTATGCCAGTTAAGGAAGCTCTCCATTAATACTAACAAAGATGGGTTACACCTGGCAATTCTTAGCAGAAATTCTGAATGTGTTGAGGTATCGTTTTGTAGTGGTGTTAGGTAAAACGTAATGGAAATGCTATAGCTATAGTTATATATGTCATTATTTATTGCCAGGTTATCTGGCAATGTACAAATAAAGGAAGATGCTGAAGCATTTCTCACAACAACAATCCCTGCCCCAAGGAGTTTATGAAAATATTACTATGGGCTGCTGTCAAATTAAAATTGGTCTCCTAGATTTTTTAAAATCTGGACTCTGCCTCTTCTAAATAAAGTTCTGCATAACAATCATATGACTATTATCTTGGGTCCTTTGCTTTCTAATAACAGCTTTTTAACATTTAGGCAATATCATACTTAATTCTGGAAACTGGCACATCATGAAGCAAATTATCAAGTGGCCACATGACACTATGAAAGAGGAAATTAATGTGCCAGTAGTCATTTGTTCAATTTGGTATATGGTGTATTGGGCAGGGGTCAAAGGTCTAATGATGTTAAAGAATTTATTTCCCACAGCTGACTGAGGAACATGACCCCATTAGCTAGAGTCATTAGTTGGAACATGACTTCAAGTAAATAGGTCTCGACATTGTACATGTCTGAATACTCTGAAATCTGACTCTAGGCTAAAGGTGAACATGTCCTCTTCAAACGCCGGTGGGGTTTCCAAATTTTGAAAAAGTAAAGAAGTCACAGGGTGAAACTAAACAGTTGAGATTTTAAAGGCAAATCCTTCTTGCTTTCAGAATTTCATTCAAAGGCTAAATTAGGAACATGACCTCATTAGATGAATTATGTGAATATGTGAAAATGCCCACATCAACAGTATTTTTCTCTTAGGGTACATCTACACAAGGAAACAAAACCTGCGACTGTCCTGGGTCAGCTAACTCAGGCTTGTGGGGCCCGAATATCTACACAGCAATTTTCAGCCTGGAGCCAGAGCCCTGTAAGATGACCTGAGCCAGCCGTGGGTTTTTTATCCCAGTATAGACGTACCCTTAGAGTGCCCAATCTCTCTGTTGAAACTAATTGTTTCCTTGAAGAGCATAGTAACCAATGGCAAATCATCACCCAGCTGCAGAAAGCCACAAGCTGCTGAGATACCCAAGCAGAATGATTTGGGGATTACACCGGTCTGTCTCAGGAGGAGTCTCAAGGTCAGGTTTCCAGTTTGAGGTTTGACACAACAATGTAGGGAGGCCCACATTTTTTCCATCTGCCCTACAAGTGACCAATTGTACATAAACAAAAGGGTTTCTTTTCTCCAGTGACATCAGGCTCTCAGTTTTCACCCTCCTTTCAATTTAGAATCACTTTAATCCCTTGAGGTCTTCCAGACACACAACATACAGCACTTATTGGGCCCTTGGGTATAGTCTGCGTATTAGACACATCCTTTTGCTACAGTGAAAAGCAAGGGCCCATCCTCTCAGATGTGTGATATTTGGTGTGC